GCTGCATAAATTGGCGTTATAACATGGGTGTCAATGAGACTTTTTGGCCTTTCGAGCCAAACTACAAGTGCACTTTTTTTGCCCTGCTATGTTGATTTTCTTTTTCTTTTTTTACATCGGTTGCTGGTCGGCTTTGTTCCTATGGTTCTCTTCTCAATGCTAAACCACCTCCTGACTCCACCTCCTGTGCAGTCACAGGACATCACACCTTTTTTTGAGCCAATCATGGTCTAGTTTGCAACAAACACAAGCATGTGTGTCGGATACATAGTATACGTTTTAAAATTATTCACTTTTATTGTGTCAAATCTGTCTCTCAACCCAGTGCAATCTTCAGAGCGCTGTGCTGTGCCTGAAAGCGCGAACGTGCTCATATCTTTGGTGAATGGTGAGTACATTTACAACTCATAAACAAGAACGGGATTGTAGTTCATTCTGGAGACAGTGAACGACTGCTCACGGTCCAAAGTGCTGATACTTGCCGATCACTGTGAGAAGAAGTCTGATATGCGGCACCTGAATTTAGTTTAGTGGGAAAAGTGCTTTGACTGCAGTCGTCCTCTCCTCTAAACTCTTTGATTTGATTATATCATCAGAAACGGCAACTGTGTGCACACGTAAAGAGGTTAAAATGCATCAGAATGCAGGAATAGACATCTACTCTGTCAATCCTTTTTTAGCGGAGGAACCCCTGACCCTTCATGAAATTGTCCCTCCCACTTTTTGTTCTATTTTTGATGCCCATGTACACAAGGACATACCTCTCGTACATCTTAAAGACAGGTGAGAGAGAAAAAAAACAATTAAATAATACAAAAATAAATACATTTAGTTAAAATTCATCAAGTTCAACTTAAAGGTCACATTTGATGCTCAAAAACGTCACCATTTTTTTCTAACACTGTGTCACTAGCCGGTCTACAATACCCCCCAATAATGAGATTTTCTTGCCTGCTCCACTTTTCAGAAAATGTGTGCTCTGAAACTTATTTAAACGATTTGAAAAGGAGGATAATGTGTCACCTTTGATTCTCAAAATCAAACTTTGTTCTAAAACTTTGCTTTTCACATTTGACCTTAAACATATACACTCCTGCTGTTCTTTTACTTCAGCCCGGCCCTTATAGATTCACTCAAGTTTTCTTATAATAATGATATTACATTCATTTTATATAGCGCTTTTCTAAATACTCAAAGACGCTTTACAGTTGATTCATACTTTATAGCTTTTCTTAACAAGCAAAAGTTACAGCACTATATAGTTTGAGTATGTTTCCATTTTTAGAGAAATGCTAGTTGCTACTTTACAAAGACTCAAGACACAAAGACGGGATAAACAGGAGATCTTTTGCAGCTTCTGTGAAACTATAGCCGTTGGCTGATTTTAGAATATTATGCTGCTGGTGGAAAAAAAAAAAAAAAAGGATAGAGCTGCATTTATGTCCATATCAGCTCTGTGTTCCCCTGTGGGAGCTCATGTGAGCAGTGAACCTGCACAGTTGCAGTGAGTAAGAGCACAGCGGGGCAGGCGGAGGCTCGGATGAGAGGGTTAAAGGAGCTGTTTAAAGCTGTCTGCTGGAGAAGCTTCAAAGAATGACGCAGCAAAATAGACAATTTCCAAATGACTGAAAGTGCTAGCTCTTTTCTCTGCAATGCAAATAGTATTTAAATATATCTGCTGCTCACAGTGGTGCTGCATTATCTGCCCGCTTTTTACCTCCGATACTCCAATCATCTGAGACTGAGGCAGCTCCATGTGGAGTCATAAGAGTGCCATGAAAGGATAAATCATTAAGGAATAGGTCAAACTTGTTGTTAATAAGTGATAAATACAACTACAGGAATGTAAAAAATAAGGGTCACAATATTCACCCTTAACTAGTTGATTATTAGTCATTATTAAGTGCTTATTGTGTTCTACATGACCATAGTCTATAGCTTATAGGCCATTACAAAGAGTTTGCCCCCAATATCCTTCTCAGTACTTGATAGTAAGTTAGAGAGCATGGAAGGTGAAATGAGTATAATATGGGATCATCGAAGACTAAAACATTCCTATTTTAGTCTTTAAACGTTGTTTCCTTTAATGGCTCCACCTTCCATCCTGTTCCATACTGTGACAGGATGAGTGTTTGAAAACTCCAGTATTAAATGCTGTGAATCATCAGTGGGATACTTTCCATCAGTGGACTGACTCACAGGGCCCACCATGCCATGTTGTGTTTAATGGTGTCATATCAGAGGAAAGATGGCTTTACTGTAGCTTTAAAACACGTACCCTGAGGTGGGCTTCCAGTTAATTGCTTAATATCCAACGAAATCCACTGATGGAGCAACTGCCAAAGCTCCAGTGTTGCAGCCTTAGTGGCTGGGGAAGCTTTTTCCAGATAATGTGAGTCTATACCTTGTATAGAGAAATATTCCTATAAAAAGTGCACACTTCCTATAAGGTTTCAGAATAAAGTAAATAAGGTAATTACTGTTTCCAAGGCTAATCAACAGCTAACTGCACCAGAGAGAGGAGACTTCATTAGACCCATATCAATCATTCTCCTAACAGCTGACATGGACAAAATGTCCCCACGGGTTCCGTATGACTCGGAAATACTTTCACATGAGTTTGCATATTTCCGCTGTATCGATCTAAGAGCGGGTGGAATAAAAACAGATAGGATGTCTTTGACGATCGATATCCGTGTTAATGTTGAGGCCTGATCTAAGGATGGAAACATCCTTAATCAATCTAACTCGGACTCTTCCCGAGCAGTGAACTTCTTCCCCCGCTGTCCTCAGATACCCTGATGATAAAGTGGAATCATATTTTCATGCAACATGTTAGATCCAGACAGCTTTCTCTGCAAACTGCATAAAAAATGTGGGGGGGAAAAAAAGCAAGAAAATCAGTACAGACGAGGGGAGGACGTTTCCACAAAGCCTCCCCATTTACATGAGTGCCCTCTAGTGGCAGAGGAGGAGAACTACACACACAAGCACACAGGAATCATTTCTCTCAGTGGCAGCGGGGCTGACAGCTCTGAAATGATAAGAAGGAGAGCTGGAGGAAAAATATTGATTCATCTGGCAGTATTAAAATGGAAAAGCAAAATAAGGGAAGAGGTTAAATCATGGCAGATTAGACATATGATGCAAACACACGCATTCCACCTGCTCGTGTGTGATGAAGGGCGGGGACGAGAATAAACCATAATCATTCTGTTCAAAGATGTATTTGTATTTATGTTATTTAAAATAAGGAGGGATGCCACACTGGGGGAACATTCTGAGGGAGAAATACTTATTTTTTTGTGCGCGTCAACAACTAATTCAAAGAAATTGACAGAACTACAAAGACAAAGAGTTTTTCCCTGGGACAACTCAGATCCAACATTAATACTTCTGTGCAGGCACGGCGCTTAGAGCACTCAAACAATTCAGTCATGCATCAAAGTGACTTTCATCCTACAACCTCTTTAAAGTCCCTCCTTTAAATAAAAAAGGAACAGATTTTACCAGAGCGTTAAAAGTTGGGAAATAAAATATGGAAAAAAGGGAACAGGCTCAACATATGTATATATTAAAATGGCACTATACGAGGTAGAGAGGGATGAGATTGCATTGATCCTATAGAGGCTTAACAGCTTCCACCAGTTTTTCTTAATAGGTAGATTATTTTTTAATTACACTGAAATACCCCGGCTACCGACTTTAAGGCACAGGCGGATTATGACACAGTGAGCCCACAGACACAAAGCGTTAAAGCTCCCCCAACCCGGTGAAAAGATGACAGTGTGTTCAAAACATTTGGTGTCTTTGCTCATCTTTGTGGTGCTTTTGCATTTCTTTGTTGATGCTTTGTGTCCTCTGGATTGAGTCCGTTATCTCTCTGGAGCTGTTTGTGCTCTCTGATCATCTTTATAGTTGTAGTCATATTTTAAAATCTTTGTCGACTTCTTCCATCTATTTGTAGTCGTGTATGATTTTCCCACATGATGGTTTGACAGTTACATAAGCAAAAGCTTTGGTAAGGTGGCTGCACACATTACAAATTAGAATCTAAGACTTTTAAAGACCCAAACAAAGAAATATTTATACATTTAGACACCACATTGCCCTCAGTTCTTTTAGGTTTTCATGTGGGATTCAAAAGGTTTGAGTCCAATTGTTGCAAGTTGAAAAAAAAAGTTTTCTCATATCTTGCAAGTCATCTCATTAACATTGTTTTCCCCATCTAACTATTCCCTGTATTTTTCATCTTCAAACCATATCTCCTTGGATGTGCATTTCCCATCTTCTTCCATTTCTCGCTTCTGTTTGTAGAATGTGTATATAATACCAGCGCCCTAAATGCTTCTGCAATTGTTGAATTGTCACATAAAAGAAGCAAATTCACAAAGTTCATCAAACACTTTAAATACTCTTACTCGATATGTCTCTCTCTGTAAATCTGCTGTCTAAAATGTAGACGCTCCCAGCTCGTAAAGATGAGAATCTAATTACTTTTGAAGGATCTGCAGGGACGCCGTCTGGTCCAGGACTCCTTTGCACCCTTGTTCTGAACCAGGTCGGCTCTTAAAGTAATCCGTTCATGTTTTAATGGACACACAGTGATGTAGAATCATCTTTCCTAAAGTTACTTACAGGAGACATATTTACAAAGACATGTTAAGAATCAACGCAGCTCCTAACTTTTAGTGTTGAACAAGCTCCAGAATCATCCTCACTTCTTTATATGCAGCTCGGTTGTGTGTTTTACAAACATTCAGTTGTACATTTGCAGAGAAAAAGGATAAAGGTGGATATGTTCAGAGTTCAGTAAGCTGCCCCACAGCTACTGGTACCAGAGAAAAACAAATAAAACCCACATTGGCATTTTAAAAAAACACAGTTTTCTTACATCCAGCCTTAAAACATTTCTCTGCTCAACTGAGGACTAGTTAGAAAAGGTTTTGCGTGTGTGTGCTTCACTAAAAAAAAAAAAAGAAAAGAGAACAGAAAAAATGTTTGGTCTGCATTGCTCTGAAATTTATTTCCTGTAAAACATTTTGGGGAAAATTGTTTTTTCAAGGCTAAAGAAGAGTCTTTCAAAGGATTTATTTATGGCAGTCCAAGACAAATTTACCAAGAGGACAACAAATTGTAAAGTATCATTTGGATCTCGGGACATGAAAAAATAAATTAAAATGAACTATGATTCATCATTTCAACTACTCCCCTTTCAGCCCCCCTTGCATTAAAGTGCATTAGTGATAAGCACAGGCGCAAAAACATTTTAGACCAGTGAGAACACTGCAACCAGAATGAATACTTGCTTTCCATTATTCAGGTCTTTAGTACTTTTGCTGGACAGGGGACACAAATCTTGACATGTACATGAACAAAGTCTTATCTTATGGAAATGCTCATTGTTGTAATAATACTGCACTGATTAGCATTTCACGGGAGAAAATCTACGACACAACATAGTGCTGACACACCGTCACACAAGAACACATCTATTGTATTTGAGTCAAACAAAGACTGTTAAAAAAAGCAACTATAAATATATATGTCAGGCCTCTACAAAGAATGAAATCATTAGTTTATATGTTTAGATATTGACAATAGTTTGACTCTCACACATGCACAAAACTCCTGAAATGTTCAGGGTGAGCTGCATTTTGACGCCTGAACAGTCACTGTGAAGGAGGGCATGGGTGATGATGTTTATATCACACAACCATCGACAGGTGTGATTGTCATACATGTAATAAATCTGCTTCATACTCTTCTCTGCCGGCCAGTGTGTTCTTTTTTACTCATATATTGATGTTTTAAATATGTCCAAACCAGAGGCGCCGCTTGGCAACAGTCAAGCAGACTGGGCGCCTGGCCAGTAGGCCCCCCCCCACTCCCCACGAGCAGTTGCATGAGCAGCGTTCCAATATTCCTATGAAACTTAAAGTCGCTGGTGTCAGGTTATTATTTATCATAATGTTGATGAATGCTGGTTGGAGGGCACAGAGTGAATTTTGCTTGTCAGGGTCCCAACAGACTCGTTGGTCCAAACGCTCGTATAGGTATAAACTGTCTTTATAGAGTCAGCAGTTTTTTTTTTTAACAACATGGCTTGCCTCCTAGACCCCCACACCGGCACACACTGATCTGACTAGAGCTGATGTTGGAGCATTTTCTAAATGAATGCATCTGAAATCTTTCTAGTAAAAAATAAAACAGAAAAATACCAACAAGCACAGAGGACAGCCTGTAAAAGTTGATTATTGGCTGCAGATCAATTTAAAACCGCCTCGTGGTGCTGATTCAGTGATGTCCTAAAGAGTACACGTCCTGTCTGTATCAGAAACCAAATGAAAAAACCACAGAACAGCTTAGCACAGGAAATACTCAACACATGACACTGTTACCAAACCTTCTGACTGCAGCCACACCGACTCTGTTACAGAAAGACTAAATATGATAGCAATATCGCATGTCTGAAAATACAACCCTGATTCCAGAAATGCTGGGACGTCGAATAAGATGTAAAAAAAGAAACAGAATGTGAGGATTTGCAAAACTTTGAAGTCTAATACTTGACTGAAAATAGCAAAAAAAAAAAAACATGTCACAAGTGGGAAAAATGAATGCTTTAAAATCTATTTTCAATTTGATTGAAAATGTCATATGTTGCCTATTTGCTAATTTCAATCAAATGTTGGGTTTTAATCTTATGAAAATCATCACATTGTCTTTTTATCTATACTTCAAGGCCCACCTTATGTTTTTACCGGGCTCTTGCTGTGCCTTTAGGGAGCGCTAGCATGAAGCGTTTGTGCGCTGAGAAAAGAAAGAAAAGCGTCTGTCCTGTCGCTGTATGACCGACACAGCTCTTTCACTTTTTACTGCATGTTTTTTTTTTATTTAGATCATCAGACATAGGAGCGAGGAGGATTTGGGTACATGCCACGATCTGCAGATGGCAAAACTAAAGGGAACATGATACATTTGGAAAAGAGCGCCGCTAACGTAAACAGCTCTCGGGGGGGAAAGACGCTGGGTGATGCGCTTTTACTCCAGGCAACCGCTTTCTGCTGCAACTGTTCTCTCCTCATTGAAAACAATTTTAAAACGATGCTGGTGCTCATAAAAATAACGCTAGGTGGACATGGGGCCTTACTCAACGTCCCAAACTGTTTAGGAATTTGGGTTGTCCTCTAGTGAGGCTAATTACAAAGAGCAAACTAGTTTGCAAAAAACACACGTTTGTTGCTGATTTGGAGCTACTTCAACTCAGGCTGCATATGAACGATGCTGTACTTTCACAGAACACTGAGGCTTTGTGGCTGTGTGTTCTGCAGAATATCTGAATATACCTCTTTTCTTGACTGCATTTGAGAGAGGCGATTGTGAGAAAAGCCAGTATAACGAATGCTTCAATCAAGTGTTGAAGAGGCTGCAGTACCATCGACTCTATGTGCGTGCTGCAGCTGTAATGTAAAAGGAGCGTGTGACGCAGGCCCACAGGCACTATTTGATCAAGTTAGAATAAATCACTCAATCGCGTTAAAAAGGGGGCTTATTGATGTCGCCAGCCCAGAGTCCTTATTCTCCGAGTTACACGGAAAATCACTGACTCTGCGATGACATAACATGTGAACATCAGCGTATAAGGATGAGCCACAATCACATAATTCTGCTTCTTTCCAAAGTCTTTATGTGCTTCTCATTCTTGCATGAGCTGCATGCTAAAGTGATGTCTGTAAGTCCTGCTCCCCTTTTTTTCTCTTGAGTTCAGAACCCCGGACTCGGGTTCAGTTCAACTTTTGGCACACTTGCAAAACTCTGCGGTTGAAGTCCTCGGGCTGGTCGGCGTACACATAGTGCCCGGCTCCACGGATCGTCTGCAGAACAGGAGACGGAGAAACAGGAAGGGAAGTGGGTGATTAAACCAGGAGGCAATAGACAAAGAGAGGCCATAAAAAGAGAGTATCGACTTTCTCCTGTCTCCTTTCTTTACTGCTTTTTTTTTTTTTTTTTTTTTTTTAAACAAAGTTGGAGAGAAAAGTTTCATTTGAATAAATCTCTTCAACTATTGTCTTATCATAGATCAGGCTGGAGCACGTCTCCAATATGAACTGAATCCTGCGGCTGCTAGAGGACCGTGTTAGTATAATACTTTTTTTAATCACTGTTTCCCCAAGAAATCCATCGTTAAGGTGGCTGGCTGAACAACATGCACCCTCCACTTTAACAACAGTTTTAGAAGAAAAACCTGAACTGAACTGCGTCTCTACGTCCAACCACTCGGTTCAGACTAACCCCCAGTGATCAACGGGTCAATCACTGTAAAAAGGAAGTGAATTAAATCTTTTAAAATAGATGTTTACTGGAGGGCACCGGTGTGTGCGCCCCATGTACGAATGTATTAATGCAGGTTTTAACAAGACCTGTTGCTCTTTTTTTCATTTCATTCCCCTACTCTCTCTCTGCCCTAATTTCTGACTCTATCTATCTCTCAGATCAAGGCATAAAAAGCCCTAAAATACAATTTTATGCAAGTTTTTTGGTAGGCTTTTTACACGAACACAAAACTTGTAGTAAGAAATACTTTATTAATCCTGCAAGGGGAAATTTAATTTTACACTCTGTTTTTGAACATGCTACACACACAAGCTGAAATACACAGACATTCACAAACAGGATCCTGTGGACATGCACCAATGAAGAGATACCCACAGCTCCGATGCAGACACAGGTATCAGAAATGACTCTACTACAGCCTCAAATGTGAAATGGGTACAGGCAAGTTTGCCAGATTCTGTAACTCATTAGCACCCCATAGCGCCTCTGTACAAAGGGCCTGTGTGTGACCGAACCACGAGGCCAACTGGCACCCAAAGCTGGGCATACATTTTGACATGAAAGTTAAAAAAGATCAAGCTAGAATAAAATATGGTGTATCAGATAAAGCCTTAAATGTATGCAACAGTTACCTACTACACTACCTGCCATGTTGAATGTATTGAGGAGTGCTGCCGCCAACACGACTTTAAGAGTGTTGAAGAACTGATTCCAGGGGGGATAAAATGAAGGGAGATTATCAGGTTTGCCAGGTCTGTCGAGCCTAAAGTCAGAGTTTTCTGTTTCACTGTTGGAATTGTAATGTTAAGTTTGTAATGCCACAGAGAGAAGCCTTGCAGTTACGGTAATACAAACTGTATTCAGCCCATCACAGAGACACATACAGTTAACGAAGCAGCCGATATAAACCATTCCCACCCCCCAGGTTAGAGTCCTTTTTACACTGCTGAGTTAAAGCAACAATCGGTGACTTTTCCACCTAAAACTGTCCTTTCAAAGTTGCGCTGAATGTGTGAAAAACGTGTTTTAAACCCTTTTCACACATACCGAAATCTCCTGAAAGATTTGGCTACCCAGAGGTTCTTCAGGCTATGTGCGAACGCAAACAGCCGCATTTTTAGCGCAGACTTTACCCGTCAGTATGTTGTTCTCCACTCTTTTGTGGATGTTGTCATTCCATTGGATTACACATAGCATTGATATAAAGACAAATATTCTCATTATAACATCGTGTAGCGGACTCTGTTGCTTTGGCCACTACTTCCGAGTTGTTTATTTACATCACGTCTTACCTCAGGAAATCCCTCCGACCCTCCGACCCCCCCCCCTCTGACAGGGAAAGTCCCCCGCTGTGAGGAGCATATGTGAACGGCTAGGTCGGGAGAATCTCTGGAGAAGTCCTCCAGTAAATATCTAGATATTATCCAGAGTGCATGTGTGAAAACGGCTTTACAGGCACAAGTGACGGACAGGTAAAGAAGCGTTAGAGTTAGATTCAGCCCTAAGAAATACAAAATAAAGAACCTACTATGATCTCCACTTGGGAGCTGGGCCTCATCTCTTTGATGGTGCTGCCTGAGTTGCTGTCTATGCTGGAGCGTGAGCCGTAGATGATGGTGAGGGGGATGTCTGGATGAAGCTTGTCCATCCGCTGCAGCATCGGCCTTTTGGCCCAGCCGTAGGGGACGCACATATTCTTAAAAGCTGTTTCCCCACTGTAACAGAAGAACAACGTTGTCAAAGAAGCCCTTAAGAAAATTCAGAGGGACAGTTAAACCTCTCAAATGACAGCTATGAATTTAATCAACTAAATGATTCTAACAAATCTGAACCCAATCAGCAGTCAGGAAGCTGGACAGGGAATCAGAGACTGACCTGGGGGTTTGCACGTTCAGGTGGTAGATGTACTCAGATACAGTGTTATCAGTGAACATGGAGGAGAACTTCTTCTTGAAGTCGGGTCTCAGAGTCTGAACCAGGGTGGGACCTGCAGAGAGGAGGGATGCTCTGATGTCAACGCCAAGACTGGAGCCATAAACGTCTTTGTTTTTACTTCTTAACTAGTAACAACGGGCACAAAAGGAATCACCAGTAATCATTCTCAATGCAAGAGTGATGGGCGGAGTCTTACCGAGCGGTCCGACCAATCTCAGGCCAGCCAGGGGGTTGAAGGGACTGAACATGGCCCCCAGGGCTTTGATCCACACGGGGATGGGACGGTCGGCCTCTTCTGTGTCGGGTCGCTTAGGGAATCCCCAGGGCTCCACCAGCAGGATGAGCTTAACTCTGTGGGCCAGAAACAAATAAAAAGTAAATCAATAAATACAAATTCACCTCCTATCTGATTTATTCAAGTGAAACGTAATAAACTGACACACAAATATGACTCAACATTACTACTCTAAATGAGTTTTGCCTTGCAACACTTTTTATGGTTGAGAAAAAAAGCATTCATCTTTAAAAAAACAAAAACAAAGTTAAGAAATGACATGTTGTTGTTTGACACAGGCTTATGTTTGGCACTTTTTCTCTCTAGAATTGAAAACTGAAAGAAGGACTGAATTTCCATCAGATGTTTGTGGTTTTGAAGGACACAGCAGCACATGCTCCACAGGCACGACTGTGACAGTCGCCGTCTTCACATGTCCTTCTGAGAATTTCTCTAAACTTCAGGAGTTGCTGGTTCACACACGCACCTCAGAGCTGGACACTTTCCCTGTCAGATTGGAGGGGGCGGAGTTTCCATGATGTAAAAAGAACGACACAGAAGTGGACAGAGCAACAGAGTCCGAAGCTATGATGACAATTTCTGACTTTATATCAATGCTGCGCGTAGTTCGACAAATATTCATTCCATTAACTGAAGAGCTGAGAGGAACAGAAATCATGATGAAGGCCAACCTGCTCGCTCACGGCTTATTTTCCTGAACAAAACTTGTACATTTCCTGCTGTGTTCTCACATAGACTCCATAGACGCAGATAATTCTTTGGGACGCTGGCAGGAGAATAACCAGGTAAAGTCAGGTTCAAATATGTGGCTACCAGTGTTCACACCTGCAGCTCACCCCGATTATTTCAGGAAGCTTTCGAGAGTTTTGTGTGTCTGTGAAAGTACCGTTTTCTCTTTCGCAGAAACAAATGTGTCCCACATGAAACCAATACACAAGAGGTGTTACTACCAGTGGTGTAGTGCAGGGTGAACACAGGTATACAGAGTTTACCCACTTCTAAGTGATTCATTGATTGACCATATTCAGTAGTTTGCAGCAATTTGTTTTCCAAGGATGTTGAAGGGCCCTTCCTCGTCCCTACTCTGTCTCTAATTGGCTAATACACATTCACTAAATATGCATATGTTGTCTTAAATGTCCCTGTTAATATCAGATGTTTTTTATCCTCTGCTGGACAGAACACTTAAAAACAAAAATTTGCGGGAACAAATACAAACAAAGAGTATACCCACTTCTTTAGGCAGCACTACACAACTGATTACTACGATAATTATTTCAGCCAAAGCAACATCTTCATATTAACTTAATCAACTGCTTTTGGAGTCTAAACGTCCCCAAACTGGAACCATGGCACAACATGAAGCAGAATTTGGATACATTGCAAAACTAGTAAATTCACATTTTCTATGTTAAGGCAAATCATCATCGTTCTCCTTCTCCTGGGTGACAACATGAAACTGTCCACACGCTGTGCTGACTGCATCACACTGGCTGATATTAAACACAGAACCCAATGATTTTCAACCATCCAAAATTATGTAATCTGCTATGTTGACTAATAAACATTCCCCTCTGGCCACAACATAAACAACGAGCACGGCTCAGCTAAAAGACGGACACACACTACGTCTCTGATTAACAGCATGCCGTGTTTAAACTTAAAGGCCCGTTGGAACAATGAGATAACAATAATGGGAAAAGATAATTTTTTTTTTTAGAATTAGTGATGAAGGAGGCCGATAAGGTATTGAGGACATTTTATCAGACGTCCTTTGGCGAGAGTTGGGCGCCCGCTGGAAGCTCAAAGCTGGAGACGCAGCAGTAGGAGATGGTTGAGGAGAGATAGTGTGGTGGGAGGTGGGAGGAGAGAGGCTTTGAGGACACAGCTGTTATCACACGTTGCCTGCACCTTACAGGCACACTGCTGCAGCTGCATCCTGCACACATTTTAACATAAAATCATGCTAACACTTACAGGGGACAATCATTATTCAAAACACCATGACATTAAGAGAGTTCTTTTGACTAATGGATAAAGAATACTAAATGTCCTTCCTCAGCACATTAAGCCTGCAGTCATGTAGTTTTTTTGCCACATGGGGGATGCAGAAACCGGTTTTTAACACAATATTGACGCATCACTTTACCTTGTCATTTAAATGTTGAAGCTGTTTGCAAACGTACGCTCATTAATGCAAAGTTTTGTTTTTTTCTGTCCAACGGATGAATTAAAGCTGCATCTGGCTCTCTTTAATTTTCTCTTTAAAAATGTGTTTTTGTTTGCCTCATTTGGACAGGACAGCGGAGCAGGAAACCAAAGAAAGAGATTGGAGAATGACATGCGGGTAAGGAGCCAGAGGCCAGACTCAAAACTAGGCCACCTACTTGGAGAACCACATCCTTCATACATGGGGTGCGAGCTAACCGCCAGGCCATCTGCGCCCGAGTGTTGACTCTCGTTTTGCTCTTTTGTTATGGTCACCACCAACCTGTGGTGGACACATTTGTTTCTTCTTCTTTCTTTGCTTGCTCAGGAATTATGTTTTAAATATGTACATGATTGCCACCAACTTGAATCTGAACTGATATATTCTAATTTGAATTCTTTAAAAAAACGAACTGCCATCATGCATGACCACTACATCTCTTTTAAACATGCTCTGCACTCCTCAAATGAAACCAAATGATCTGGCTGAGATGCATGTTTGAATGCAAACCGACACATTTTTCACCACAACTTTTTCCTGTCTGCAAAAGTTGTGGTGAGCCGATGTATGATTTTTTAAATTTGCTTTCATCTATGTGTTATGGTGATTTTGTCCTTGTGTTTCTTGTCTCCTGCTGCAAAGCACATTCCCCCCTGTGGGTCAATAAAGAATCTGAATCTGAATCTGTAAGCAGCGACCGGTGGACCTGCATTACATTCTCTTTTCTTCTTCAAGCTTCATTCTCTCTTCGTCCGGACAGCATGTTCTTTTCTGCACTTTTATTGGTACTTGCGTTACAATACTGCATTGATATAAAGGCAAACATCGTCATCATCGCGTCATACTCTGTTGATTCGTCGGACATCTTGAATGTGTTGTAAACATGACACTGAAGCTGCGTCTCAATTCAGGGGCTGCATATTTCAAAGGGCACATTTGCAGCATGTTGAGGCCTGCTCAATTCAGAGTCTCCTTCAAATGTGTCCTACACTTTCCCTGTTCAGGGTCCATCTGGTACATTCTTCGTCACCCAACATACCCCGACATTCATTGTGCGATGATTCAAATTAAATGGGGGCTTTCAAGTAGCTGATGATTACACTTTTTCAGTGTAAGTAACTGGCTAGCGGTAAAAACATTTATTTGCAGCCGTTTGGCGTTTGGTACAGCAGCACCATGATCAGCACCTAAGAATAATAAAAACCCATCACATCCATAAGCTGTAAGGAAAGACAAAGTGCATAATGTGCACATACCTGTGTGGATATTTGATAGAGTACGACACAGCCAGGTATCCGCCCAGGTTGTGCCCCAGCAGTATCATGGACCCCAGACCCGTTTTAGCCCTCCACTGCTCTATAGACTCCACAAACTGCTCCTCTGCCTCCTGGCTGTCTGCTGAGAACTGAGGCCTGCTGCTCTGTCCGAAGCCCAGCAGGTCCAGGGCGTAGACGGGTCCGCGCTGGGAGAGAGCGTCCAGGTTGTGAGCCCAAAGACCAACGCCCCCTCCAAACCCATGAAGCAGAACTATGGGGGTTCTGTGTTTGGCATGGTCACTGCCTATAGTCAGGGTCCACAGACGGTTTGCGTTTGAGATGGGGACAAACTGTTTGGAGAACGTGCCGTCGACGCCTGAACACAAAAAAATAAAAGAGAAAGACAAGAAATGTGAGGAATGGAAAGTTCAATAAAGGAATGTCATCATAGTTTTGTGAAAGTCTGTGAGGGAAAATTAAAAAGGTCTGCACAACCTTCCTCTCAGCTCAAGTGACTCATACATTGATATATTTTGGTTTGAATCCCTGTCCCTCAGGAGCCTCTCTGTGGGAGTTTGTATGTTCTCCCCGTGCATGCATGGGCTCTCTCCGGGTACTCCAGCTTCCTCCCACTGTCCAAAGACATGCTTGTTAGGTTATTTGGTGACTCTAAATTGCCTGTAGGTGTGAGTGTGGCTGGTTGTCTGTCTCTTTATGTCAGTCCTGTGATTGACTGGCGAACAGTTCAGGGTGTAACCCCGCCTATTGCCCCAATGAAAGCTGATTGGCTCAGGCCCATTCCGACTCTGAACGAGAAAAGTGGTAACGATAATGGATGCTGTTTCCTTTCATCATGATTCTTTTAATGTCCCGTGAAGCACTTTGAATCGCCTTTTATAAATAAACTTGACTCGACTCAAAACCTCTCATGTATCGGAAATTGTCTCGCATGGAAAAATGAATGTGTTCAAAAAACCTGAACCTTTGATTATTAGTCAGGACCAATTGTTTCGTCAGCCATCTCTTTCTTCATGTCAGAGGCCTGAGAAACCTCATGATACTTTCTCTTTATGAGCTACAAAAGCAAACAAGACCATCAGGAAAAGAATTGATCATTTCTATTTAGTTGTTTTTCATCTCTGAGACCAGTGCAGCGGGTCGGTGTCATTTGAGGAGATTTCACAGCATGCCGCACAGACAGACTTTGTTTACAATTTTAAAAGCAAAGATTCCCAGTGAGTGAGAAGCTTGAAGCAGGAGGACATTTATCTAACCAAGAAAAGATGAACACATACGTACATTTATTATGACCTTACACTGGCTTTTACTTACTTAATTCCATGCTGTGCGAGTCTACGATTGCTATTTCTAATACAAATGTTTGAAACATATACACTCCTGAAAAAGTGCACAGATTTGGGGCAAGCTGCCCCTGAAATCCTCCTGAGATGGTTGTTTACACATACACCTCACAGCAGGAGGATACTTCCTACTGCACTACTAAGAAATTTATATTTACCTACATCTATTTAAAAAATCTGTTGCAACTCGTCTCAAACACAACGCTCCCACTTCCTGAACGTCACATGAGGAAAGTCAGAGTAATAGAAAGCTGATGCTTACAGCGCAGCATCTTTGTCTCTGCAGTCTGTAGCTGAATCTGAGAGGTGGGGCACCATGACGGCAGCCAGTTAGGGATCCAGCACCACCTGCACAGACAGAAGAACCCGACATGAGCATACTAAACTACAGAAAAGACATTATACCTCAGGGAGACATAAACAGAGTAATAAACCTGCATATGTTTCAAGTAAAAAGCTAATTAAACACTAGCATTTGGAGTGCTATGAGAGCATGGGATGACCTTTACATCAGCTGTTAAGAGGGAACTCTCCTTATTGAAAAGACAGGCTTTGTTGATGCGGCGTGGTGTAGGGCAGTGGTTCCAAATCTTTTTCTTAAGGGACCCCTATTTTACCATTGTATAAAACTGACGACCCCCACCGCCCCCCCTCCACATACAATTAAAAAAAAGATGGAAAGGTAGTCTACTCCTTTTGAAATATCTTCATGTATATAACATTTTATTACAAATATATATCTAACGAAATATAGGGTAAGAAAATATGCTTTATTTGAATGAATTTTATGTTGTGTTAAAATGAGGTTATATGTTCTTCCACTCGGCTTATTTCTCCTCTCACACAGTCTGTTCGTCTTCACTCATCTCCGCCTCTCTCCCTCTCTGAGCAAACCTCACAAACCTCCTGAATCACAACAACAACAACAACACAGCTGTTTTGTTAACCAGGACATTTTTTGTATATTGCATTTTATTTAATTTAAAGGTATAAGGTGTACAGGTTGACCTTGTGCAGCTGGCTCTTAATAACAGTGACTGTGTGACATTTGGCTCATGTGGATTTACTTTTTTGTTATTTGTTTACAGATAAAAAAAAATATTGAGATATATATCATGCATCGCGTTCAGCTAAAAAAAAAAAAAAAAAGCTTATATGATTTTTTTGGTTCATATCGCCCAGCGCCCACAGTAGCTCGGTGGTTCCCGACCTTTTTTGGTTTGACCTCACAAAATTCTGGCGACCCCAAACATCCAAAATCACAAACAGCTTTTTGCTCAAATTATTTTTTGTTTCAATCATGTAATAGTTTTTCTACTGTGTTGCTGTAAACATTCATTTAGGCTGGGATGACATTTCTGCACAATGGTGACAGACACTCTGCAGGTTTCTTGTTTTGTCATTGTCATAGAATACTGTTATAAATACTGTAAGCCTGTGTTCAATGTATGTTACAATGTATATTTTATGAAAGGATGGTGAGAAACCAGACTTACTTTATTGTGGTGTCCACGTAGCCCCACACACTGCTGACCATACTGTCAGCACCAACAACAGACAGAAACCTCTGCACCGCCCTGCAGACAAATCAAACCGAAACAGAAAAGAGAAGGTAGAAGAAGTTAAAGGAGGCGAATGACGATGACAGACACAAACAAACGCTGCTCTGTATTACAGCTGTCAGTAGGTGACACATGTAGCACATTGCTTTATGACATTTAGTAGTTTCTAACAACAACATATCGGCCTAAACCATATCTTATCTGGACAAATTATCTATGGAAGAAACTAGTTTAACCTTTCGAGTGTAATTTGACAAAAAAAAAAAAAAAGTCATATTCCTGTCGAAGTGTTTCGGTACAGAAAGTCTTTATGACAGCACATTTCTCTCAGTGTAGAAAGACGACATGGAAGTACTTTATTTATCTAACTTCAGTGTAGTGTGCCTGCTTCTTGGAAACTTGTCTACCTGTAACTTGTCTAATGTTTGACAACAACAACACGCCTCTGTCATCCGGAGTTATCCTACTCATGAATCACACACACTGACGTTATCGTCACGACAGCTGCTTTCTGACATTAATAGTCCGCTTCCTTAATTGGACACACTTGTATCAAAACGGCGAGTGAGGTAGGATACGGGGTTTACTTACCCACTGTTCCCTGTCGCCGCTTGCTCGGCCATACTGCAACAACACCTTTGAGAAACTACTCCAGTCACGTGGACTGACGGACTCTGACGTCATCGAAGGGGCTCTTCTTCTTATTTTTTATTTTTTATTTCAGTGCAGCTCAGTCGAGCGGTGCATCCATTGAAGTTTCAGTCCCCGCCTGTCGCATCTCGTCTGAAACTCAAAAACAAGCGCACCCAGCTCCAGGACGAGATGAAATGCGGAAGTGGCTTTTCTGTCAAGTATCTAAACATTGCTGCTCCCCAGTAGAGGAGAGAGCTTTGGTAAGTAGCCAAATAACAAGATTGCTATCTTTTTACAAATATATTGTGCGTACCACAGAGACACAGGGTTATTTGGTTTGCGCTGACAGCTTCCGGTGTGCACTATAATGTTACATTGTAAATAAAGCACCAGCACTTGAGTCATTACCAATGAGTCATTACCAATGTGACAAAACTCAAAATGTTTGCTTAAAAGAATCAAAATAGCTTTATTTATAACATTACGATGAAAGACATAGTTAACTGTCGACTTTTATATTTTATATTGTGTGACTTATTATTATTGCTAAGGTAAGTTTACGAGCACATTTCAGCAGGAAGGCAATTCAAAGTAGTCTACTTCATGTCAATATGAAGAAAGAAACAACATATAAGAGCTTTAACAAATATATTAAAACAAGCCATTAAAATTTTTTAGTAGGCCTATTGAAAATATTGAAAATTAAGATAGTCTTTTTAATATTTAATGTAAAATATGTTGACCAATCAGACCAAATTTGTCCTTTTACAGCAGCAAAATGTGATTTACAGAATGAAAAGCAACAAATCACGGCTTATTACTGTCACCGTCTGTTAAAATGAGGAAGTGCCAAACTCATAAATCTTATCACTTAGTTCAGCTTTTCGCTTATAGCCTTCCTGAATTTGATTAAAATGTGTGCTGTGAAATTCTCTATCAGTAAAATCTATCTATCTATCTATCTATCTATCTATCTATCTATCTATCTATCTATCTAACAAAATGAAAACAGCTAAAGTCATACCAATACATAACACGGGAGATACTCTGTACTCTCAAACTACAGACCCATTTCATTGCTTCCACAGTTCTCAAAAATACTGGAAAAAATATTTTACACAAGACTGGATGAATTCATCACTAAACATAATGTACCGTATGAGCAACAATGTGGTTTTAGGGCAAAGAGAACAACTTCATTTGCAATAATAGAATTTATAGAAAAAGTCACTAAGGCAATAGAAAACAAAGAATATGCGGTAGGGATATTTCTGGACTTAAAAAAAAGCTTTTGACACTGTATGTCATGAGCTATTAATTAAAAAACTACAAAGATATGGTATTAGAGGCATAACACTGGCATGATGGCTATCCAGCTACCTACAGAAAAGGAAACAATATGTCGAAATACAAAACTATAACTCACAACTGCTGCAGGTTACATGTGGGGTGCCCCAGGGCTCAGTTTTGGGGCCATTACTATTCATTCTGTTTATCAATGATATATGTGAAGTGTCACAAACGGTCAAAACCATTCTTTTTTCGCTGATGACACAAATTTGCTCTGCTGTGGTGACAACTTGGAACAGCTTCTGGATACAATGGAAAAGGAATTGAAGAGGATGAAGATCTGGTTGATGAAAATAAGCTAACATTGAATTTAAGCAAAACAAAATTTATAATTCTTATAGGCTATTTATTTTAGCAGATTCATCAAAAAATATCGTCTTGATCGTCGTATATTAAAGGGCTTCACAAAGTTTTCAGCACATAACCCCCAAAAATGGGCGCTAGAGACTGGGGACCCCCACTGTCCGTGGAGGTGGTTAAAACATTTACTGTTGCACACTTAAGTCTATTCAACACTGGGATTAGAACACCACTAAAGAATACAACAGCCTGAACACTGTAACAGTATTTTAGAAATGAATTGTAAGAAATGCTAGATGTAGAACATAACTCATCTCTTGAAATACTTTATTTTTGTATATATATTTTTTACAATAATGGTTAAAATATGTAAATTTAGGTAGTTTTTCATTTTAATATGTTTTGGAACAATTCTCGCGACCCCCCAGGGTGCCCCGACCTGCACTTTGGGAACCACTGGTCTAGCCTATCGTTAGATTTTTCTCTGATTATTATTATTATTTTAAATCATGCCACTAATATTGAAAATTCAACTTTGTTCTCGAGATTTCGGATCATAAGGCTCAATAGACTTCTCTCCCTCGTCGATCGCTATTTTTTACTACTTAGAGAAAAAAAAATGTCGCAAGTTTAAGTCAAAGAGGGCTCGAGTAGGTACTGATTCATGACGTCCACAAAGGAGGACTGTCGGTAACGTTGGTGGGTGTGACAGATGAAGTTCACTGCGCCGCTTCGTGACGTGTAACTGAACTAAAGTTCACCGCTGTGCAGCTCCTGTCAGGCTGCGCAGACATGTCGGTAACCATCTAATCTGACTGCTCTCAGATCAGCTCTCGGCCCCCCCGCCACCTCCCGGCTGCAGCAGAGACACACGGACACAGATCTGGGTGAGTACCGAGCACACAGAAACCTTCCTCACCCTCAGTTCTGCAGATTAGTTACGGCGATACTTTTCAACTCAAGCCTCTGTTCGTGTCCCTGCTTCAAAAGGCCCCTCCCTTTCTCTCTCTCTCTCTCTCTCTCTCTCTCTGTGTGTGTGTGTGTGTGTGTTGGCTCTGATGGTCGATCAGCTGTTTCTGTCAGTAGACTCTCTGTTCTCCAGGCTGCTTCGCCTACAGTTCATAGATGTGGAACAGAGTCATCCACCTCGTACATGAGATCGTTTGAGCAATAAAACATGTAAAATCAGCCTGTTGCTGGGTGTACTGCATACTGTGGTCGAGCAGCTCCTGTAAGCCTATCAGACAGTTTTACTGAGTGTGAACTTTTCCCTGATAGCAAAGCCAGACATACAGTAATGTGCAAAATTCTTACTCAAAGACAACTAGTAATTTTGAAAACCATGCATCCTGCTCAGTCTCTTCATGAAGATACAACCAAAGAACCCAGGAAATATTAAAAAAGTGCTCCGTAAACATAAAAATATCAGCTGTTGAATAAAACCCTGTCTTTCCCTCTGAGGACATTTTCTCTGGCTTTTATTTCTCCCTTCTTGTTTTGGCACAGGAGTCCTGTGAGTGGAGAAGATGCTGCAGGAATCATCAGTAGACGGAAGTGGCTCCAGGTTTACTCCTCTGGTGGTGGCGGAGCTGGCCCCTGACACCAACCAGGAGACCATTGCATGGCTGCTGAGCAGGATAAGAGACAGACAACAGAATGGAGGTGGGGAAAATCAAAGCAGATCTTCTTCTCTACAGCCTCAATGTTTCTTGTTATTTATCCAAATGCTTCCCACCAGGTGCTGAGCTGCTGGTGGAGCAGATGGGCCTCGGAGTGGCCGAGGAGAAAGAAAACCCCAACATGTTCCTGATCGGGGCTTCGTGGCAGAGACTGCTCGCTGGCGCTGAGGAAATTGGACTCTTCAGGGAGTACAAAGATGGATCCATGAGAGGCTTCACCTGCGCTAACAAACACAACTTCAAAGACTTTGAAGGTAGAGAGTTCAGGAGGAGGGCTGCATGAAGCTAGGAGGAATTTTCCCCTGTGGACAAGGCGGTGTCTGCCAGGTCTGGGTCTTTGTTTGCTTTTTACATTTTTTAGAGATAGGACAGTGGATACCTCTTAAGGATTAAGCCTCAGTACATGGGGCGAGAGCTCTGATGGCTAGGCTAACGACGCCCCCACTATGCAAGTTTTTACCTTCATATCAATGTCATGAATTGCTGGACACATTTACAGTATCGATGTGAATAAGTGAAAAAACAACAACTTCACTATGATATAAACGGAGGGGGTGACTTGTTCAGCCAGATAAAACACCTCTTCTCAACAGATACACCTCGGCTTCTGACATTGGTGCAAGGCACATGATGTGCAGATGGTCGCTGTTTGTCAGCAGGGCTGATATCAATGTTCAGCTGATACATGGGTGCAGAAATGTGCATGAATTGAACTTGCTGAAAAGTTAACATAAACAGATTTGAAGAAACTTTAGAAAACTTTCACTCTTAGAGCCAGTCCTGAACTTTTTGTAATTGACTGACTAGACTAGGACTGGGTGATATGGATGAAAATTCCTTTTTTGATATGTTTTTAAGCTGAATGGGGATACATGTTCTATATTGCAGGAAGAAAATTTTGTCAAGAAAAAACAAAGTCAGTTCAAGTCTAAACCCGTCCAAGTTCAAAGGAAACATATGTTCCTATCCTGAATCTGCTCAGAGAGGGAGAGAGGTGGAGCAGAGTGAAGAGGAACAGACTGTGAGAGGAGAAATAGTCCTCAACATAAACATAAACTATATCATTATGAACTATATTGTCTTAATATTATATAATAATAATATTAATAATAACTTTATTTATATAGCACTTATCTAAACAAGGTTACAAAGTGCTTTACAGAATCCATACAATCAAGCAAAATAAAAAAAATACATTAAAAGTGCTTCACAAAATACACAGGATAAACATTGGGAGTAAAATAAATATGAATAAAAATGGATGTAATTAAAGCAGACATGAGTTACTAATCAATCGTTAAAAAGGCCTTCTTATAAAAATGTGTTTTGAGCAAGGATTTAAATAGGAACAGAGTTTGCCAGCCTAATTTCTCCGGGTGGGGAGTTCCAGAGCTTAGGGGCTCTGATGGCAAATGCCTGGTCGCCCTTGGTAACCAGCCTAGATCTAGGAACGACTAATAAAGGTGCTCTTGATGATCTAAGAGCTCGGCTTGGAGCGTAAGGGGTTAAAAGTTCTGTAATGTAAGGGGGGGGGCTAGACCGTGTTGTGTTTTAAAAGTTGTTTAAAAAAATAGTAGTCCAAACGTGAAAAGACAAAGGCATGAATAAGCTTCTCTAGATCAGGGAAAGACAGAGTTGATTTAATTACACTTTATCTCATTCAAAAATCTATCAATATGTCTTTAAGAAGTAGACATATTGTCCAGCCCTCGACTGGACTGTGGTGGCCACGCTGTTGCCACCTCTGAGCTGATGAAGTGTTATCTAACACACCTTTTATGTGAAAACTGTGTTTGACGTTTGTGTCCGATGTTCTCTGTCTCTCCAGGGGACGGAGACAGCTTCCTCAGCATGGCCGAGTGTCAGCACATCATCAAGCACGAGCTGGACACTTTAAGAGCCAAAGATGAGACGCATGTACCGGGACACGACTCGGCCAAGCTCTATCCCGGGAAATCTATCGGTAAGACTTTATCCGCCTCTCACTCAGTCATTTAGAAATAAAAACAGGCCAATAAATGTAATGACTCAAAGGTATATGGAGCGTTTTACACCTACTACATTATTGTAAAACATTCCACAGAACTGTCCTTCAGACGGCCACGATTTTCTGCTCTTTTTTATATATTAAACGTCTTTCGGTTTTGGTCAGTTTTTTGGAAAAGCAATTTAAAGTTATTGATTTGTAATAGCTATTTTTTCACATTTCCTGGACATACTATAGAACAAACCATACATTGTCAGTTTAACTAACAGATTAATTGAAAATGAAAATAGTTGTTGAATCCTGCTCTGAATGAATCACTTTAATATCTGACCCCAGAGCTAATGTTGCTGAGTGAATAGGCACCAATTACTCATGCTAATTATTGGAAGCATTATACAAATAGTAACCAATTAACAAGAACAATAGCTAATCAGGAGTACATTTAACCGGAGGTTAAAATGAATTAATGCAAAAGTCCCTCTCTCTGTTGCAGATGATTTTTTTTTCTTCATTTTTAGCTTGTCAGAAAGTTTGAATATTTTATGAGCTGTTTTGTCACATTTGGTTGTTTACCTCCAAAGGTACTTTTTTTTATTTTGTAGTAGGTAAATTCTGAAGTTGCAAGACAATAAAGCAGCACGACTCTTCCTCCCCCTCTCTTTGGGAGCAGCCTGAACACAGCATGTCTCCCCCACCGCTGCCTCTCTACCTCCGTCTCTCTCTCTCTCTCTCTCTCTGTGGCTGCAGTATGGAAACAATCAATATGCAAATGCAGAGAAATATTCCCAATGTAAGATAAGGAAGAAATGAAGTCGCAGTCGGAGATAGTGTGCTTCTATTCAGCGCTTGTGTTTGAAAAACCGTGTTAAAGCAGAATGTAATCATTATGGACAAATGATGCACTCAAAAAGAAAAACTGCAGATGAAATGATAGAGCTTTCATGTGATTGTATTTAGTCATTCCGTATTAGACAATAGGGATTATTGCTATAGAAATTGTACTGAACACAATGGCTGGCTCCCAGCTATTGTTTGCCTGTCCTTGTCTTTAAAAAATGAAGCTGCATGTTTACTCGGTTGGTAGTGTTCAGACGAACAACAGTAAGGGATGAAAATGCAGCGAGGATGTTTTCATGTCACTCAAAACTAAGTGAGACATCTTGCAAATAATTCAGACCTTGAGCAGTAAAAGCTTCACCCAGCTCCCTACTGGATCAATATTTTTATTCATCATGGATGGTATGAATATCTCTATGAGAATGGACATGCAGCCATGGAGTGTCTTAGTTTGCATAATCCTGTACAAATTGATCTTAAATATAGATTTCAAAAAGTGACGCCTTCTGTCTTTTTGAAGATGAACGCTAAGACTTCCATCTTATGCTTCATCACGTTAAACCTATGTTGATGATGTCATCATATTGTGGTAGGTGCTGTATGATTTTTGGATGAGAACCAAGCTGGGCTAAAAATGAAGCCAATGTTGATGTGCAAAAAAAGCTGCAGTTCTTCGACTGTCCACTTGAGGCTGCCTATACTGGAAGTCCGTTTAACACATGTTTAACATGTTTAAATGCCCATTTTGATCACCTAATTAAAATATATTTACAGCCTGGTTTAAGAAAACAAAAAGTTGGTGGAAATAACTTAAGTTTTCCATAATTAGTGGCGCAGCTGATCTGACTGACTGGAGGGAGTTGTATCTGTTTGACAGGAAACTAAAGGCCTGCCTCAGCTCCACCTTTTTGCATGTGTCTCGGCTGAAGTCAGTTTTTGGAAAAGTCTCAGGAGAGCGCTTTGTACTTGGACGGGTCTGCGTCATTGGGCAAGGACAGCAGGGAATACTCTGCTTCAGCAATCAATGAGTGATGTCACTATGATTACGTCCATGTTTTATACTGTGTATGTCGACAACCTCTGAGTGATGGGACTTGACATGGGAGATGTTTGTGTGCCACACTTTTTTATTTATTTTTGGGCTTTAAAAAAAGGATTGTAACGGCAGACCATCATGCGACGTTCTGAAGGTTAACGCCCGGCTGAACTTTAAATTAAGTTTATTAATGGCAGAAAAACGTAAGTCAAAATGTTTTGTTCACGTTCTAGTCCGCAGACTGCAGTCCAAAGGGATCCTGATCCAAATTTTCCCTCTCCATGAGAATGAGGAACTCAAGAGACTTTCGTTCTCCTGGTACAAAAGGGTGAAGTTGTCCCTGCAGCCGTTAGGTAAGTAGAAGAAGTACTAATTAAGTCTGTGAACTATAGCAAACATGCATTCTTTCATTTTGAGTCACCATACTCACTTTTGTTATAGAAAAGTGAACAAAGTACACAAACTTGCTAATATCATGCAGGCCTAAAATGTGCATAAACTGTTTTGAAACATGTTGCTAGCATGGGTTTTCGGTCTTTTTTCTGTTGGACATGTTGTCTTTGTGCTAATTCAAATTAAATATGGGATTACAATGTTTGAACCAAATTCGGTTTTCATTCGCATTTTAAACAATGTCCCAACTTTTTGGGAAATGGTGTTGTATAATAAAGTTTCCATGTATGCATCATCTACCCACTACTTCCTTCTCCACTTTCACCACCAGATGAAATCCGACACTACTACGGGGAGGGTCAGGCCCTCTACTTTGGCTTCCTGGAGTACTTCACCTTTGCCCTGATGCCTATGGCTCTCATCGGAGTGCCTTACTACCTGTTCGACTGGGAGGACTACGATAAATATGTCATCTTTGCTGCATTCAACTTGGTGTGGTGCACTGTTATCCTGGAGGTATGAACGGTTTCTCGACCTGCTTCCAGTTCTTACAAAACACGAGTAAAAAAAAGTTTGACCCATGACCCATTATGAAGAATTTATCTGTAGAGGCCTCTGGGTTTTATATCAATATCAAGATTATCTTATACATAAACATCTGTCGGGCACTGACAGGCAGCTCTAGAAGCTTTACACTCTATTCTTTCCTAAGAACAGACTGCTCATATATTGAGTGGAGGGAGATGTTTTCAGTCCTCCAAATAATCGTCATGGCGATCTGCACAGGACGAGCAAATGATTTCAAATTTTGTTTTTAGAGCATCATAAGTTATGGAGTGTAATCAGTTTCTAACAAATAGTGCAGGAAAGGAGTATGATATACGGTATCATACCAAAATAAAAACTCTATTTGAGTACTTGAATCTTTCCCTTCTCCAGTTTTGGAAGCGTTGCAGTGCCTCACTAGCCTACCGATGGGGCACGCTGAGCAGGAAGAAGGCCTTTGAAGAGCCTCGGCCCGGTTTCCACGGCGTCCTAGGGTTCAACCCTGTGACGGGCCGCGAGGAGCCGGTCTACCCCAACGTCAAGAGGCAGCTGAGAGTCTACCTTGTGTCGGTGCCCTTCGTCCTGCTCTGCCTCTATGTGTCCCTCTACATCATGATGATCTACTTTCTGATGGAGGGGTGGGCGCTGTCGGTCCACGCTGAGGAGCCCACATTCTGGACCGAAGTTCTCTTGTACATCCCCAGCATCATCTACGCCGTGGTCATCGAGATTCTGAACCTCATCTACAGATACGCTGCTGAGTTCCTCACCGAGTGGGGTGAGTAGCAGTGATTGTTATATCATAAGAACCTATGCATGAAGACAAACACAGTCTCAAAAACAGCTTTGGAATTTAACTTCAAGGTATTCAAATGTTATCAAGTGATGGAATTTCTTCATCATAAAGTTCAGGTTTCTTTGGTGAGATTGGTGCTGAATCATTGGAAATGGAATGTATATGAAATGACTTTACAGTCATCACAGAGATACCAGACAATTAGACGTTCAACATAGCCTACATGAAAAAAAGGACAATATAAACATATTTAATATGTTTACTCACGTTGTCAACAAAGAAATAAAGTACACATTTAAGGCAGTAAAGCAAGTACACTGGGACTAATGTACATCTGAATCATGGTGGTGGAAGATTGGCGATTCTGGAGTAAAATACAGTATGAGTGGTACATGGCGCTGGCCCCCTGCTGGCAGTGCAGATGCCGCTTAATTTATTGTGCCATGTCTCGGTCGAACTGGTCTAGTTTTCTACTAGAACCCCCTTTACCAAAAAAAAGTTGGGATGATGGGTTAAAATGAAAATGAAAACAGAACGTGATGAAACCTCACATATCGGAGTGAAAATAGCACAAAGACAACATATCATATCCAAAGCTGAAACGGAGACATTTTTCTGTTTTTGGAAATTGTGTGCTCATTTTGAATTTGATGCCAGCTACATGTTTCGCAGAAAGTTGGGACAGGCTCATGTTTACCCTTCTGTTGCATCACTTCGTCTTCTAACAACACTCTGTAAGCGTGATGATGAAAGTGGAACGTTCTAAAATCCTTGCTTCATGTAGGATTTCATGTTTCATTTTACCCAACATCCCAACTTTTTTTGGGGTTAAGAGGGTTTTAGAAGAAAACTATTTGGACTTGTCACCCTTAAGTCCTTGATTTTGATTGTCATGCCTTTCACTGCTAGATGTGAAAGTTTAAGATAACAACGATATACATTCATAAATATCAATGATTTGTTGAAAATGATGAAAACGATGTTAAGTTGCAGACCAGCATCAATGCAATATTTAATCTCAATGAGAGGGTCAAATGTGGAGATGTTTGATTGAATGCCGAGCAATCAGCCCTCTCCAACGGCGGTGTTTATCAGGAGGCTTACAACTCACCTCAGCTCCAGCTCTTTGCCTGTAGTTAGGTTGACTCAAAGTTAGGTTGAGACAGCACTGCAAGCATGGCAACCGCCATCGTCAGGCTTCCTAAGCCCTCTGCAGTAACCAACGGGTGACATCACTCAGGCTTCGACCACTACTACTTACAGTCTGTGGTAAATTCTAGCTTTTAATTACAGTACCAAAGATTTCAGGCAAAATACTCCACACTGACTACATTTGGAAAGGTTGCCAATGTAGTGTAGAGAGCACTCTCAAAATTGCACGTGGCAGCTTTGGTATAAAACATTCTTTTAAAGCAGTATTAAAGTAGTAGTTCAGGACTTTCTGATACTATCGATAATTGTATTAACAGAGATTGTAAACAAGCGGTACCAAAAAGAAAATAAAGAATAAAGCAACCTCTCCCCAACAGACACTGTGTTAGTCACAGTTTTTTATATCGATATCAAATGTGGCAATCAAACTTAGTGGGAATGGGAATGATTGCTTTCCAATGACATATATATTTTGAAGTCATTCGACTTTTTTACAGGTCAACGTGTGAATACACGGTCTGTGCTTGACTGATGTATCCTGGATTATCTTGTAAATTATGTAACTTTCGTTGTACCTGTTTGGCAGAGACAACTCTAAATATTTGAATTTACATCTGGTGACTTTTTAAGCCTCCAGCTCAAACTACCCTCAAACTGTGAAGTTCTCTACTCAATGTAAAAACCTGCTTTACAGGACCTGTAGAGTAAACCTTCATCCTCTTAATGCCATCTACAGTGAGCTTCAGGGTGTGAATGCTAAGTAAACCTGGATTTGACTAAAGCTGTGTGGTGAGTGTGACTGTAGTAATGAGTCCAATCACCTGTCAAAAGAAAAACATACCTGCAGTGACGTAACTTGATTGTAGGGTTGTAGTCAAGACCACACTAACGGAGACCAAGACATAAGACCAGAGTGCTCCGAGACAGAGACAAGACCACGACATTTAGAGATAGAGACTGAGTTGAGACCAAGACAGGGGAAAGACCGAGACAAGACCAAGACCATAAATATCACTGATAAACCATCATCTTGTGTTCAGGAAGTGTGTCACCATAACACCGGGAAGGTTGTGGTCGTAACCGGGGGATACAAATCCAACTACAAATCAATTGAAGTTATTCATTCTTTTAGAAAAAGGCATTTTAATTGAATCACGGTAATGACTTGGAAAGTAGCCTATCAGAGGTTGTCTTGACCACTCTTGATTTAAAAATCCGTGGTCTGCCCAGTCTGAGAACGAGACAAAGCCGGTTGAAAATGCTTTAGATTCCGAGACCTTCAAAAAGTGGTCTCGAGACCGGTCTTGAAACCAATACCGATTTAAAGTACTAACACACTACCTGATTGATAAAGACAACATGTAACATGCTTGGAAGTTTCAGCCCATAGAGCAAGTGTTTGTCATTTATACATCTCAGTCATTTTACCAGTCACGATGAGAACTACTCTTCCTGTGAAAACAAGTCTGAGAAAACATCTAACTTTAGGACACTGTCGGGGGTCTCAGAGGTACTATATTTCTACAACAGAACTGTGCTACACACTGGAGGTGTGGGGAAAAAGTTGGACCTGCTATCTTTATTTATATATATATATATATATATATATATATATATATATATATATATATATATATATATATACATACATTTGTTTTATTCATGCGACGAGCAGATGTGTGCTTATCAGTGAGCACTAAAGAAGCTGGAGCTGTTAATGTGAGTCAGCAACAATCTGTTTATAGAGACTGTAGTCAGCAGTGTTGTTAACACTTCACACTGATGAACTGACTTACATTAGGACCAACCAACAAGTGATGTTTTTGTTTCTCCGCCCCTATGCGTAGACTTCCTCTGGCTCGTCTACATTACCTCTGCCCCTTCTCTCTCTCAGAAGATTTTTTTTAATGTTAACAATAGAATGATCAACTAAAACTCTTAATTCTAAGGAAACACAGTTTGCTGTTCTGTCTGACAGGATGATTATGGACTTGAGCTTGTACAGCCCTTTTCTAGCCTTCTGACTACTCAAAGCACTTTTACACCACATGTCACAGCTACACATTCACACATTGATGGTAGAGGCTGAAGTGTCCATTAGAAGTAACTTATCCCATTCATGAACACTCATACCCCACCGACGAAGCAGCGGGAACAGTTCGGGGTTAAGTGACTTGCCCAGGGACACATCCGACATGTGGCTTCAGGAGCTGGGGATTGAACCCACAACCTTCCTGATGAGAGACAACCGACTCTACCAACTGAGACACAGCCACCCCTAAACATCTTCAATGACTTTGATTGTGTCAAAACCTCTCTAAAACATTTGCTCAAGTCTTGATGAAAAAAAGGCAACTGGACTTGGTAAGGGGCCTTGAGGACTGCCTTGAGGAGTCAGAATTTTCTGATTATTCCAACTCTACATGAATACAGAGTTGAATGCAGGTTGCTCGTGATGGACTGTAGACTTGAATGTATTTTATAAAATGTGGTTAGAATGGAAAACGCTGCAGCTACATTGGTAATATCCTCCTCATCTGTTCTCTCCTCTGTGTGTTTTTAGAGAACCACAGGCTGGAGTCTTCATATCAGAATCATTTGGTCCTTAAAGTTTTAGTAGTGAGTATACATGTCATTTAAATGTTTCTGTTACATCAACAATCTCACCCTTCAATGATCAGAGTGAAGCGTTTCAAGTCATGCATCATTACTTGTCTCTATTTTTTTACCCACAGTTCAACTTCTTCAACTGTTTCGCCTCGCTGTTCTACATCGCCTTTGTCATGCATGACATGGCGTTGCTCAGACAGGTAGGCCTGTTTGATTTCCCACACTTATTCAAAAAAATGCAGAATTTATGTATTTTGTTAAAGTCTTTGCCCCCGTATACACTGCAAAAACACATATCTTAGCAAAGTAATTCCACTGAATAGAAGCGACATCCTGTACTCCTGACAAGTCTAGATACACATCCTGTTTCAAGACATTACCAGCAAAAAGAAGGCCTTTGAAGGTAGGATTATTATGTCATTTCAAGAAGCTTAAAAAACACGCAACAAGTGCTTTTTGCTTGCTGCATTGGCAACTTTTCAAAAAACTCAATACAAGCAATTTAGGCCTTTTTCTTTGCTTTAAATGTATTGAAAAAAAAAGTGTTTATCTGGACTTGTCAGGTGCATGGGGCTTAATTTAGGTATAGTCACATTTGACAAATCTCTTTGCTAAGATATGAAGTTTTGTAATACATGAACCTTATTGGTCCAAAGACGACCCTGAATATACAGCAACCCCCCCTGCAGTGCGTGATGTGCGGTCAATAATAAATAATATGCATATCAGGAATAAAATGGCCTCCTGTGTAAACTGTATATGTAGATAAATAGCCCTATGCTACTGTATTTCAATGTTGGCCATAATGGTGGTATTTAGAGAGTACAAATATTTGATGTGGTAGTACTCATTGTGAAATGTTTGAGAACCACTGGCCTAGTGGTCAGGTCACACCCCCTATATGGAGGCTATATTATTTCCAAAGTACTTAAGGGAAAACAACCTCTTCTTATAGTTGGACCAATACAAGATATTTTTTAAACCTATTTTTAGGTTAAAAATATTTTGGAATAGTTTCTGTATATTGCTTTAGCCTGCATCCACATGATTGGCCATTCAAACTTTCTTGTGTAGACACACACACACACACACACGTGAGGTAATTTATGGAAAAACAATATTAGGGGGGCAGGGAAAAGCACCTGAATTATTCTATTACCCCTCTTCCTCCATCCCTACTTATCTTTCTTTGTGGATTTTTTTTTCTTTCTCTTCTCTTATTCACTGTCATTTTCCATGTAACCAACCTTCTCCCTTGCTTTATTTTTCATCTCTCGTTCCATCCTTTGTCCAGAGTCTGGCCACTCTGTTGATCACCAGTCAGATCTTGAATCAGTTCATGGAGGCCTTTCTGCCCTACTGGCTCCAGAGGAGACGCAACAAGAAGATGACCCGCAAAGTCCAGAAGAGAAAAACTCTGGACGAGAAACAGCTGCCTCTGATCGAGCAGGTCCGACTGGAGGCCGACATGAGCACATACCTGGTGGGTTCTGAGGGTCTCTTCACTGAAAAAAGGACAAACAAACAAGACTTTCTTACTTACACAGGAGTGTCATGTCTCCATTTGTGTGTGTGTGTGTGTGTGTGTGTGTGTGTGTGTGTTTCTTCTCTCAGGGCACATTCGATGATTACTTGGAGCTGTTCCTGCTGTTTGGTTACGTCAGTCTGTTCTCCTGTGTCTACCCTCTGGCTGCCGTCCTGGTGGTGTTGAACAACATCACAGAGGTTTACTCTGATGCCTTCAAGATGTGCTCCGTGTTCAAACGACCCTTCTCTGACCCAGCAGCAAATATAGGAGTCTGGCAGGTGAGACAAACAAAGGTCTCGTCCCGTTTTTTCAATTTGTAGTTTCTAAATGAATGAACCTCCCGCACCTGTGACTCAGTCCGACCAAGATGAGACGTGAGTGAAGGAGGCAAGGAAGCAAGATGCACAAGGAAGAAGGAGGAGTTAAAGGAAACATTTGTCATATTAAGAGGTCCTTCAAGGTGATCACGGATCACAGAGGGGAAGAGTAGATTTATTTGGATTATATGTTCCTGGTCAAATTTAAATGACATCGATACCACAGTGATAAAAATAGAAGTCCTAGGCGCCCATTATTGGTTATTTTGTTTTTCTTATTAATGCAAATTGCAAGCAAACTCCTTCACACTGTCTAGATTTTAAAAGTACCTTATCAAAATACATTGGAATCTAATTGTTGCTAAGTGTTGACGATATGATTGTGCAATTAAGACAGCGCAAGAACAGAAGAGACAGAGAAGACAGAAAAACGAGCACGTTGACTTCCTCTGGCCAATTTTATGGATTAAACGAGTTTTCACTGATACCCATGTGGTAGGGGAGGTCACATCGACATTGTCACTACCTGGAGCTCGCATCAACACAGCCTGGGTCTGTTGAAGATGTCGATGTTTTGGTGGCAACTGAGGGCCATAGGGTGGGTTATGGGGCATAGTTTGGATGAGGGATGTCTTCACTGAGCGCTTCATTAGGGCACAAATACATTGTGTTTATTTATATATAAATAAAACAGGCACAAAGGTTGCAGTTAATTTGTTTTTTTTTCACATAATCAAAGGTTTAAATAATGATCAGTGACTTTAAAAGTGCAGACCTAAGCAAACTTTTAAATGTAATAGAACAACTTAAGATAAAACAAATGACGCACATGTCATCAGAGTACACTGTTAATAACATCCAGAGGTCCAAAATCCTCTTTCTCGTATCTGTACTCTTTTATTATTAGTGACATTCGATGAAGATCAAGGATCAATAACTCTTTATAAAAAAGTCACTGACCTCTGCGTCTCTTTGTGTCCCTGTCCAGCTCGCCTTCGAGGCCATGAGTGTGATCGCTGTGGTCACCAACTGTTCGCTGATCGGCATGTCTCCACAAGTCAAGGCTTACTTCCAGGATTCAGATCAGCAGCTTATATTCTGGACAGTCGCTGTTGAGGTAATACATGCATACACAAACACACTCTCATGCATGAGCCCAATAGTTTCATTCTGTACACAACACAGTGGAGTGAGCCTTTATGTGGCACTCAAGTGTCAGTGGTAGTTTTGGCTGTATATCAGTAATACTTGACTGTTGCGTACTGCAGGATCGTTACAGGAGGCGATCAAGGACCAAAAAAACAAAACACAGGTCTTCTTCTTACCGTTTTTGATCGTTATCTACTCGTATTGCACTTTGTCTTCCCTTTTATTGTGCTGTATTACAACCACTGGATCAACAATGACACAGTGGTTTACAGCCACATGGGGAAACATATGGTCCCTAGTCAGACAGGATGTATTCACACAACTGTTCAACACTGACACTTCTCTCTGTAGGGATATTATAGTGTTGTAGTGAAGACCAAACTAACCGAGACCAGAGTGCTCCGAGACCGAGACAAGACCAAGACCATAAATATCTCTTAAAAATCATCATCTTGAGTGCAGGGGGCGTGTCACTCACTTAGACAGCAACACAGGGAAAGTTGTGGACGTAATCGGGGGATAAAAATCAAATAATGAATGAGTTAGTTGTTCTTTAATTGTTCTTTTATAGAGGGCGATTTTCTTCTAATCACGTTAATGACGTGGAAAGATAGCCTGTCAATGGTGTTCTTGACCGGTCTTTATTTAAAACCTGGAGTCCACCCAGCCTGAGACCGAGACAAGACTGAGTAAAAATGCAGAGAGTGATGCAGATTAACTACAGTATAGCAGAGTGACACATTATTTACCAGTGTTACATGGTGTTCGCTGCATTGTCTCTCGCGGTTTCTGCTCTACTCAGCTAATCCTGTGCACACAACGTGCATGGCAGTTTGTGAGTGAACGGTTGAATGTGACATGTAGTGCTTTGAGGAGTCATACGTCTACAAAAGCACTTGACAAGTCCATCTGCCTTTTACATGTGTTCAATTTAAAAGCTTTGGTAAGAGTCGTCCTGCCTGAACAGATGCAGCATGACATTGAAACATGTTAGATCCTGAGTGGAAGGTGTGAATACATCTCAGTCCACTCCTCAGTCAGATGGATGTGCAACAAAATTTGACAACACCTTGAGAGGACAGATCAGGTCAAATGAGTGTGTGAATGAGGGAGAATGAAACGTCTGTAGTGTTGTAGTATTCAAAATCAGTCTTGAGCTCGGGACCACTTTTTGAAGGTCTCGGTCTGGTCTTGGACTAAAAAGCATTTTTACTCAGCCTGGGCAGACTCTGCATTTTAAATCAAATCCCGTCAAGACCACCACTGATCAGCTATTTTCCCACGTCATCACTGTCATAAGAAGGAAAATGCCCCTTTATAATTAATGAACTAATATCTTCAATTCATATAGTTTGATTTTTGTCCCCCGCTTGCGTCCGCAGCCTTCCCAGTGTTACGGTCTAAGTGAGGGACATGCCTGCTGAACACAAGATGATGATTTTCAGTTATATTTATGGTCTTGGTCTTGTCTCTGTCTCGGCCTGCCTTGGTCTTGGTCTTGACTCGGTCTTGGAGCGCTCTGGTCTGGTATGTTTTGGTCTCGGTGAGTGTGGTCTTGACTTCAGCACTAGTCTGTAGGTATACTATTGGTACACATGGCTTTATAGATAAAACCCAGAGGTGCAGCCCTGCTTCTTGATGTACAGTGGCTAGTTTCCAATTTTCACACTCACAGACTCTCTCTGTTCACATACAGTATGCTCAAAACTCCTGAAACTGCACTTTTCCCTGCCAGCCCCTTCATAAATGTTACGATGTGAAAACACAGTAGGAAAATTCACCTCAAGTGGGCTGGCATGCTTCATTATGTTTTATGTTTTGCTGCTTTGCTCTTTCCTTCACACTGTGAATATGTCGTACTGTTCACAGCATTGATATAAAGGCTGAATAATCATCATGTTGTCAGTCTATTTCCTTGTCCCACATTTTTTTTTTTGATGTCATGTCATTTCCTCATGAGAACCCTCCCCTTCCCGTCCCACAGAAGCAGCCTCGCTCTTTGAGGTGCATACATGTGAATAAACAACTCGGAAAAGGTTTCAAGAACCGCCTGTCTGAAAAGTTGACTTTTTTTAGTTGTGTAAATGTGACGACGACTTTACAGATTTTTGCGGCACGTGCGTGCTTAGTGCCGTCTCAATGTTAAATCATCAAAAGTGTGATTTGTGTGAGAGCTTTGTTGCAGAGTTTACAACAGCAAATTAGAGTGAGTCAGCATTAGTGCAGGATTTCCCGTGGGAGATAGCCGGGAGTTTATTGCCAGCTTGGTGTTGTGAAAGGACGTCATTGTTCAGCTTCGCTAAATATTAACAAAAAGTGATTCATTAAAAAAATGATTTTGCCTAAAAAATAAATGAAAACAAAACAAGCATGCATGTGATTTGTTAATCTTTAAAATATGTTTAAGTGACAAAATATGTAGTTTATCACTTTAAATGTCATTAAAGGCATTGCCTTTGGGATGGCGCCAAAGTTCTCAGGGGGGGGTGCGGTCATGATAAAACACTTATTGGATCATTTATTCAAAGGTCTTTTGGTAAGAACAAATGTGTGTATTCTATTCTGTTTGGATCGTATCAGTGAAAACTATTGAAAAGTGATGTTGATTTTTGTCAGCCATGCATCTTTATGTTCTCGATTAGGTCCTTGGGGGTCCAGGCTTTTCTTATATTCAAGAATGGCAGGGGGGACAATAAGTAAAATAGGTCGGCAACAACTGGTTTAGAGCCCATTTGAAGAGTTGTTTGTGTTTTTCAATCAGATATTCACAAAGTATATTTTTTCTGAATAGTTTGCTTTTTTTTTTTTTTTAATGTCTCATCTTGTTTCATGGCACCGTGTGATGTCCTGATAGTGTTTCCCATTCTCTTCTTTTTTTTTTTTTATACCATCTCGAGTCCACACAGATTCACGCACTGCACGCCTGATGCTGTTAAAGCCTTTGGGGGTGGGGGGGGGCATTGGGATAGGGATCCTGAATCACACATTCGAAGGGGCTGATGAGGACTTTTACTCACTAGATGGAGCTAGAGTCCAAACTAGATCCACAGAGAACAGCGACTAATGGAGATGGGAAAGAGAGATAGAGAGAGAGTGCATGAGAGACTATGGGAGGATGTGAGAGATTTTGTGTGCATAAGTGAGTGTGCAAGAGTGTTTTTTTTTTTTTTTGCTGTGTGTACATGTCAGCACATCATTGTTTGAGCTTTTGTGTCTGCGTTAAATCCAACAATTCCCCTCCAGATTGTTCCTCTCCCTGAGTACACACACACACCTCTATTAACATCAGCATCATCCTTTCCTCTGTGTTCTATTCACCCGGAATGAACGCAGACAAAAACACTGCAAACAAACACACACACATACGCATCATGCCTCCAGAGAAAAAGCTCAAAATAACAGCAGGAACAGAGAAAATGAGAAGCTGTGCTGAGTACAGGGGGGGTGATGCTGTGCAGAGAGGCTTCTTTAGGACATTCATGGAGAAAAGAAAACACACGAGCATGTTTGTGTTGCTTTAACAAGCTCCTGAGGGATGACTGCTCTAACCATCCAGTTATTGTCTCAGACTGTAAAAAAAAAAAGGCCCCATAAAGCTGTACTGTACCTCTGTGTGCGGTGGGTCTCTGCTGATGCTGAGGCAGAAACTGGGTCATATTGATCGTCCGCATGGCTGATTGAATGTGTGGTCTGCTCACACAGAGCTGAATGATAAAACTCCTGTTCCGATCGTGGGAAAGATGCTCACAGTGTGATATTTCTTCTTGCTTCAGCAGCCAACAGGATCATCTGATTAAACCTCCCTTTGGTGGGATTATTAGGTGAGAGATATAGACGGTTCTTTATTTTGTCCCTGGTTCCTCCGTCCTACAAACATTTATTATTATGAGCGTTTAATTACCGACTGTTTGCGCTGTAAGGCGGAGAGATGAATGGTTATTAAGGAGTAATTATGATCAACAAAGTGAGTTTAAGATAATCCTCATTTAGTAGCAGACTCCCTGAAGGCCTTAATAAAAGACCGTCGACAGACTCCCCTGTGACAGCCACAGGTTTGATGACAGTGAACTGGTGTTTTATCCACAGCAGCTCACAGCTTGTATCATCACTGGTGTTTTTTTTTTTGACAATCTCAGCAACATAATAAGAGAAACCCCATATTTATTTTTTCATGGTGATCTGGTGTTTCTTCAACAAACTTACAGATTGTTTTACATCTTGATGGAGTAGCAACCGAACCTCATAGTTACAGCCCAAGAAAAACATGCAATATCTTTAAATGGGCATATTTTTTTTTTACAAGCACAGTCCTCTGTCACTCGTTTACACTCTAAAAGTAATGGAGCTCATTTACACTTTGATTTGCTGATCATTTAGACGCTTTTATCCAAAGCGACGTACATCAGAGAGTTAAAACAACACAAGCAAGGATCTAGAAAAAATGAAACAATGTCAGCAAGTGCAAACAAACAGCTTTGAGTCCGATTGGACACACTGGTGCTGACAGGAAGTGACCAGAGGCAAAGCACAACATTGAGGGCAGTTCTTGAGAGCTCTACTCAGTATAGAAACCATCTTAAAAGTCGTCGTTATCAAACAAAACCGTCGTCATCATCATCATTAAGGTCATGTATTCATGAAAGAGCTGGGTCTTTAGCTTTTTCTTAAAGGTGCAGAGTGACTCTGCAGATCGAATGGAGTTTAGAAGTTCTTGTTGTGAAGGTTCAACCAGTGATTCAGGTGTAGCGATGCAGAGAAATGAACGCAGCATCTTTGAACTATTTTGAAGTTAAAATGATCCTGATGCTAATTCTGTTATCATTATTACATATTATGTGTTTTCTTTAAGCTAACAAACTCAGATGTACATCCTGGTGTCGCTGATGACAATATATGTAGGCTATGTGTTCAGTATAAAGTAGTAGAAATATATTTTTATCTATATTAGATAGTTTGTGAGTCATCTCC